ACTTCCCTGCCCCTCCGCCCTAGGCGAGAGGTGCCACTATTCCAGTTACCTGTTGCTTTGCAACAAACCACCCCAACCTCAGAGGCATAAAACAGCAACTATTTTATTGTGCTCATGGATTCTGAGGATCAGGAATTCAGACAGGGCACAGCGGGGATGGCTGATCTCTGCGGGGGCCTCAGCTGGGAAGACTCAACAGTAGGGGGCTGGGATGGCCAGGGCTGGAAGACCCATTTCCAAGACGGCTTCTCAGTTACTGGTCTGGGTGGATGACCTAGCTCACCTGGCGGGAGGCATGTTGTTTGGAAAGACAAGCTAAGCTTGTGGTTGCGAGTCATGGGGGTGGGGGAGCCAGCAGACTACCTGAGCAAGGAACCAGGGCCCCACGGCTGGGCCCCCATATTCTGGGGTCTGGCTCTTGGCTTAGGAGGCTGGAAAATTCTGGATTTGGCACCCCCAGGAATGGCCTCTCCTTCAAGTCTTTGCACATCCTGTTTCCTCTATTTGGACCCCCTCTCATGTACTCGGATCCCTGGTGGCGCGGTGGTTAAGAGCTATGGCTGTTAACCAAAAGGTCGGCACTTCGAATCTACCAGCTGCTCCTTGGAGACCCTACGGGGCAGTTCTCCTCTGTCTATAGCGTCGCTATGAGTTGGAATCAACTCCACGACAACGGGTTTGTTTTTTTGGTTTTCCCACCAACTCACTCTCCCTAAGGCCTCCTCATTTTCAGTTCTCAACTTACATATCTCCTCCTGGCAGAGGAAGCTCCCTGGTTCCCCAAGGTGATAGGCTGAGTTTGCTGTCCCTCCTCCCAGATCCTGTCCTCTGTGGAAGGCCTGACCCCACCATGGTAACGGACTAGGGACTTGTCTGCACTCTGGAAGCTCCAGAGGGCAAGGCTTGGGTCTTTATCACAGTCACTCGGCACAATCCCAGGCACACAGTAGGCACTTCATGCATATTTAGTGAATGGAGGGCACACAGTAAGCACTTCATGCATATTTAGTGAATGGAGGAAATCGTGAGACTGATGAATTTTGAATGACTTTAATTTGAGCCTCAGTTTCCCTTCTGTAAAAGGGGGACAAAATTTACTTACTTAGCTGTTATGTGGCAGAAGAGAAAAGATGGGAATATGTGGGGTGCGGAGCAGGAAGTCAGAAGAATGATAGTGAACGTATAAAAAGTCTCCTGTGAGGTTATGCTGGGGTGAGCGAAGCAAAGGCCATGAGGCACTGCCCATAAAGTGCTTAGCAGTGTCTGGCACACAGTGGGTGTGCAATAAATGTAAGACATTATTACTATTGCTATTGTTGAAAGAGTGCACGTTTTCTGAGTCAGGAGGAGCTCATAGGATGGCTTGAAATTTCCTTATAAGTGGAAATGGAGAAGTACAAGGCCCGGTCCGCCTGTCACCCTGGCCAGTGTCTTGGGGTGGGGGGTGGGGGTGGTGCGGACTGCTGCAGTCATGGTGACTGGCTGTGTGAGCTTGGGCAGGCCACCTGGTTAAAGAGCTGGGACCCCAGGGCTGGGCCCTCTTCTGATGGACCTTTAAGACCTCCCAGTTGTGACACTATCTGCGCTGCTGTGAATGTCACTTAGCCAAAGAAGTCACACTGGCAACTGCTGGGAAGCTTCTCCCACCCGCTTGCAATCCCGCTATTTCAGGAAAGTGGAAAACGTTGCATGCCTGGCTGCAGCCCTGTTTCTGGTTGGGTGGTGACCTCTAGTGACAGAAGGTAGGAATGACAGGCAGGGCAGCAGCTGGGGGTCAGGCAGGGATCCGGATAGAGTAAGGGGCAGAGTAGGGGGGAGAGGGCCCTTGGTGTGGCCAAGCTGAAATAGGGGCGCTTAAGTGGGGGGAGGAGTTAGGCAGGAATTCCAGGAGGAACAGCAGCCAGATAGCCAGAGCCTGCCTCTGGGCTGCCGCATGACTGCCCCTGCCCTTGCTGTGTGACCTGGGCCGATCTCTGAGCTTCTCTGCAAACTTAGTTTTGCCTGTGGGAGGCAGTTAGATGCTGACCACCTGACCACAGGGGACCTCCTTCCCATCAAGGTGCTTCAATCCTCCAGAGAATGTGGGAAAGGCAGGGATTTGAAACGATTAGTAGATGGGGGGCGGGGGACGATTGAGACCCAAAAATTATAGGATAGGAAGGGCTTGGGCCCTGAACAAATCTATCTCCTAATTTGAAAATGTTAAAAAAAACAAAACAAAAACACTGCAGTGGACCAGGCCCCCTGGGACCAGGGAGGGGAGGATCGTGGCCGGGGAATTGCAGGACTGGAACCTTCCGCTTGCATTGCTTGGTCTCTCAGAACTGTGGAATGTAGAACCTTCAGCACCCTAGAATTTGACTCTTAGCAGACAACTCAGACTATAGAATCAGATCGTTGAGCCTGGAGGTCAGAATTGAATTGCAAGCCCCAATTTTCACTCTGGGGCTGGAAGTCATTTGAGAGCCCGTGCCTAGCGCCCAGCCCCCCTCCCCGCCCCCTTCCCCAGCTTGTCCTGGAATGAATATGTTTGCCCTCACTGCCTGCTCATAAACTTGTTCACAATCAATTGGTCTGGGGTGGGGCCTTGGACTTTGAATTTTACAAAGCTTCCCAGGGGATGCTGCTGGGCTGCCCAGATTTGGGCAACTGATTTAATCCAGCCATGTCTCCTCTTCCTCCATCAAGTGGGGAAACTGAGGCCGAGAAAGGGGACACCACAGACTTTGGTGACAGGGCTGGGACTTGAACTTGTGCCTCTCAATGCTGATGCCTCTCTCACCAGCAGCCTGGGGTGTATAGACAGCTCCAGGGGATTGTCCCACCTCTTGGGGACCCCTGGGCCCTCAGATATGTTGCAGAGAGCACAGACTGCATTAATGGGGCTGCGAGGCTCTGGGGGACACAGCAGAACTCTCTTCTGCCTCCGAGGAGCCCCCTTCTAAAGAGGGGCCTGGCTGGGCTGAGGCCCCTCCTCTTCTTTTAGTTCCCCCTCCAAGCTGAAGCCCCACCCCACCCCAGATGTACCCTAACCACTCACCCCTGAGCATTCCAGGGCAAACGACCCCATATGTTTTAGATTCAGCTACTCCAAACCCATCGCCATGTAACACCCCCCGGATGCCCAAGAAGCATTTGCAAGTTTCTTTTTTATCTTCCCTTTATTAAAAAAAAAAGAAAAAGAAAAAAGTTGGTATCTTGAAAGAACTGTGGAGCATTTTGGAGGCACAGACTTTTGCAGAAGAGAAGCTGGTGGTCTGGCCAGGTAAGGAGGGGCTCTACTGTCCCAGGGAGGTGAGAAAGGGGAAGTGAGCGTGAGGCCGGGCTTTGAGGAGTGAGGCCTCCTGAGGGCCTGTGGGGAAGCACTATGGCGGGGATCCTCAACTGCCAGGTGGAGGGCTAGTCTGGGGGTGGGCCCTCTTTTGGGGTGGGATACTGGGAATGTGTTATGTCATCATCTATAGCCTCTCCTTCTCCAGCCTGCTGCCCCCTGGCCTCCCCACCCCACCTTACCAGACCACCAGGGCACCCTCCAGTCTCAGACTCATTCCCCTCGCACCCATTCCTGCTCTTAGCTGCTGTCCGGAGACCTTACATGTTCAGGCCAGAAAATAATGCCAATACAAGTTGGGAGTATGCCTTCCTAGGGTTCAGGGGCACAAGGGAGGAAGGCGGTACTCTAAGGGTGGAATGTCTGGCAGTGAGAACAAATATCCTCATTAGCTCAGTCTAACCTGGAGACTCCTCCCACTGTTCTTCCTACCTGGTGTGTGTGTGGCAGGGCAGTCAGAGGAAACTACAAATACTCAGGGTGTCAGTGGTGGGTGTGGGTGAGTATGGGAATCTTCCCTTGCTTCTAACCCAACACTCTCCTTCCTTCCTCCCTAAAGGACCCCAAAGCTTCCTCTCCATTGTGGCTGTGCTGAGCAGAGGGACCAACAGGTGGAAGGCAGAGCACGTGGGTTTGCTGGCTGCCCTTGGGCAAGTCTCTTCCTTCTCAGGCCTCAGTTTCCCCATGGGTACAATGGGTAGGAGGTGCTGGGGTGGGGAAGGAGTGCCCTGGATACTGTCAAAGTTCCTTTCAGCTTTGATGACCTTTTCTGGGCTGAGCCGGTGGCTCTTCCAAGGATGGCGGTCTCACCTAACCCAACCCCTGGGCCCCCAACAGACTTGGGAGTCAGCTTGGGCAGAAGAGGGCATGGGAATGGTAACAGGGAGGATGCATTGATGGGGTGCAGCAGGCAGCTTCCAGGAGGACCAGTTGGTTGGGTACAGGCCTCGTTGTCCAGCCAGAGGCTCCATCACAGCTCCTCCACTGCCAGCTGGGGGTGGGTGGTGCCCAGGCCTGGCACAGGGAGTCCTGGAGCCTGTTCCAGGGGACTCCTTGGGGGAGGTGATGGCTGAGGGCTGTGCAAGTGGCATTCAGGGATTAGCCAGAGGACGAAGCACTCACAGGCCTGGGCTCTGGGGTCTCCTCTGGAGTAGAAGCAGGCCTCTCAGAGCTCCACAAGCTCACCTGTCCTGTGGCCCTGACCCTGCCTCTTGGAAACCCCTTCTAGGCAAAGGCGGGGTCAGGAAAGGGTCAGGGAAAGGCCTAGCAAAAGATGTTTGGTTTCTTTAAGGAGTAGACAGAGAGTTGTTGGGGCCGGCACAAGCTGTAGTTGGCAGATGGTCTCTCAAAGTGTCTGTGTGTGTGAGACAGAGAGGGAGAGAGAGACACTGAGGAAGGAGAGAAAGAGGATGTAATGAAGAAAAGAAAGAAAAAGGAGGAAAGGAAAAGAAAGGCAGACACGAAAGGAGAGAGAGAAAGAAGAGGGAGTGAGGGGCCGAAGAAGGAAGGAAGAGGAGGAAAACAGACATGGAAAAAGTAAAGAAAGTGAGGAGAAAGGAGGAAAGATTGACACAGAGAACAGAGTGGAGAGAGAGACAGAGAGAAGACGAAAGGATAAAAGCCAAAAAATGAAGCACGAAAGCAGAGAAGAGGGACTGAATCGAGACCCTCGGGAGGGGGCAGTCCTGCCCGACTCCTCAGGCCGGCGGCCGCTGGGGCCTCACGTCCAGCTTGCTGTCCAGCTTCCTGTCCCTGCGCAGGCGCCCGTCTTTCCGGCCCTTCTTCTGGCTGGGGTTTCTCTCTGCAACGAGAGCACAGAGCATAGTTTCTGGGGCTGCAGGGTGAGTTTGGCCCTGGGAGGCCCCACAAACCTGAGAAGATGAGGGTGTCCACCCACTCCCCAACAACAGGGCTCAAAATAACATTTAGGTGCTGACCTTAAAACCACTCCTCAGAGTTTGAACTGCAGCGTAAGTTTCTCCGAAGCTGGCTGTTTAGGGGTGGAGGAGGGGCGGTGTTCACAGCCAGCCTGCTGGGGGGTCTGACCTGGCTGGGCCTTGAGGTGCCACAGGGCCCCAAGCAGGGCCCAGGGTGACCTGAGGGGCCCCATGTGCCCTCACTTCACAGTTTACAAGGCTCTTCTCTGGACACTCCACACATTTACCTGGGTTCCTGCACCAACTTCCCCACTCACCTTCCCGCCCACAGGCTCTGTCCTTCAACAACAACAATAATAGCAGCAGTTAGAGAGTGCTCACTGCATGCCAGCCACCGCTCCAAGTGCTTTATGTGTATTAGACTTGGTGACCCCTCATGACAGCCACGGGAGGTGGGCACAGCCTCACAGCCCCCATCTGACAGACATCACCCAGTTCCCACTGCGGGGAGGGGTGGGCTGGGATGCAAACTCCAGACCTAATTTTGGATCTCCATCCTGTCGTGCCCCCGCCCGGTCCCTGCTGGAGCTGGGGTGAGTTTCTGACAGAAGCATCTGATGTCTCACTTTCTCAGCTGAGGCAGCTGAGGCCCAGAGAGTGAAGACTTGCTCTGTGCCACAGCCTGGGCTGCAACTCCTGGCAAGTCCTGGGCGTTCCCTTCTAGGTGGCAAACTTGGGCAAAGGGGACAAATTGAGTGACCAGTAGCCAGACGGCCAGGAGGAGTGGACAGCGTTCTAGCAAGCAGGCTCCCTCCTTCTGGGATCCTCCCACCTAGAGAAAATCTAATGACAATAACTCTTTAAAAGTGCTCATGGAGGGCAGGGGCTGGCAAGCTGTGGCTGCGATTCCAGAGTGGGGCCTCAGACACTGGGAGGGGTGTGTGCGCTGGGTCTCCGGGGACTCCCTGCTCTGCTGGCTCCCCGGGGGCACCCTGCTCTGCTGCCTCTGAGACAAGGCAAGGACAGACCTTAAATCCACAGATCCCCCAGCCCAGAACAGCCCCAAACAGAAAACCTGGCCAAATCAGCCCTCAATAAACCCATTGCCTTCTTGTCGATTTCAATTCATAGACACCCTACAGGACAGAGTAGAACTGCCCCATAGGATTTCCAAGGCTGTAATCTTTACAGAAGCAGACAGCCACATCTTTCTCCCGTAGAGTGGCTGGTGGGTTCAAATCGCAGACCTTTTGGTTCACAGCTGAGTGCTTTAACCACTGCACCACCAGGGCCCTCAGCCCTCAGTAGAAGGTGTCAAATCACCGCACACTCATCAGAACACAGAAGGCCTTCCAGAAGCTTCACAAACAGGAGCGCTGCAACACCAGGGCAGTTTTCAAATGGAGCGCCCCACCCCACTCTCCACCCCACTCCTGGCTCTAGCCCTTAATGGTCCCACCGATAAGCCCTAAACCAAAGGCCTCCAATGTCCCTCGCTGGCCCCTGGAGACTTTGTGCCCTTTCCTTGAGGCACTTTACTGCCACCTGCTGGAAACGTGTTGCATTAACACACAAACCTAGTTCAGGTACAGGTGAATGGCGCCCCCTGGAGTTGCACAGCGCCCAACGTGGACACTCACAAGGGGCAGCCCTGGTTTCCACATCTCTGCGCAAGTCTCTCTATCTCACTCTCCCAGTCTCTGTCTCTCTTTCTCTGTCTGCCTCCCGCCAGGAGGGGAGAGCAGAAGGTGTCTTGGAGGTGGTAGACACCCGCAGACACCCAGGGCTGGGAGGAAGGACGCTGACGACCCTGTGGCTCCCTGTTACTCATTCAATGTCTCTGAGCTTCAGTTCCCTCATCTACAGAATGGGCAAGTAATAGCTCATCCCTCACAGGGTGGAGGTGGGGGGCAGCCTCCCAGCCCTGAGGCAGGGCAAGAGGAATCAGTCTAAAGGTGAGTCATGACAGCCCTGTTTGTAGGACCTGTCATCACAGCAACCCCAAAAGATAGGTAGAACGATTAGCTCCATTTTACAGATGAGGAAACTGAGGCACAGATAAGAGCAGGAACGGACTTGTCCCAGGTCACCTGAACCAGGCCCATGAGCTAAATCACCTTGCCACCAAAAAAAAAAAAAAATAGATGAGCCGTTCCAGCTTATTAAGCTCATTGTGGGCTAGGCGTGGTTGTAAATACTTCGCCTGGATGAATAACTCACCTCACCTCGCAGGGCCTTATGAGGTCAGTACTGTTCCTGTCGCCATTTTACAGATGAAGAAACTAATAAGGCACAGACAGGTTAAATGGCTTCCCGAGGTCACAAATGTTTATTGAGCACCTACTTAGTGCCAAGCACTATTGCAGTGCTGGGGATACAATGGTGAACAGATCAAGCAGAGATCTCTGACCTCCTGGAGCTGACTTCGTTGGGGAGAGACAGACACCAAGCAAAATAAGTAACAGTATATAAAATATGTTAGAAGGGATGAGTGTTATGGGGGAAAACAAAGCAGGAAAGGGAGAGATTTTCATTTCAGATAAGGAGGTAAACACTTCATGAATGTTTGCTACAGCTGCTCTTGTTGTTATTATCATCTGGGGGAGGAGCTTTCCTCTCTCGCTCTCCACAGCCTATCAGCTACCAGCTCTCAGTAGCCTTGAGAGTTGTAGTCCCAGTACCTAGTGCTGGAGAGAACTGTCTGTGTGTCTGTGTAGGCGGCACTTCTCTGGCCCTGGGGTATCTTAGTTTGTCTGGTCCCATCTCAACCCCTTTCCTATCCTCAACTGCCCACCACGACTCCCAGAGGCTCCTTCCTCTGCATTCCCAACCCCAACACCACAAGTCCTTCTGAAACTAGGGGTCTCCCCGAGTTCACATCCTCACTCCACCATGTCCCAGCTGTGCGCCTCGGGTGGCCTGTCTCCAGGTCCCTCACCCTTAACCATAACTCTAGATTCCTCTTTGCACACAGACCTACATTTGAATTCCAGGTCCACACTTTCCTAATTGACTCGACCTCTATGAACCTCTGTCTCCTCATCTGAAAAATGGGGATTATAATAATACCTACCTCATAGCGTTGTTGTGCAAATTAAATGAGTTAACAAATGTAGAGAATTTCACACCATGCCTGGCATGTAGTAGGTGCGCAGTTAAATTAGTGAATTCCATATTGTGACTTTATGGCTTCTTACCCACCATACTTCATGGCCTCTTTTCCCTTTAAATCAGTGGTACTCAGGGGGACTGTACTGCCCCCAGCGGTGCTTTAGAAAGCCATGTGATAATTTTGGTGGTCACAATGAATGGAGGTCCTGGTGGTATTCAGCCAAGAGGGGAACTGGGGGATCTAAGGAGGACAGTCCCCACAAAGAATTGTCTCCCATTCCAGCCAATTCTCTAACGTCCTGCCACATACTCACGTAGCTGAAAGATCTGCTTACAATGACCTGAGCTCAGAGCAAAGTTTCATGTGTAAAGGCCAAGTGTTTTTAAGCACTTGTCCCATTCACTGAGTTTTCTAGGACTTCCCATATCAATCAAGCAGCAATCAGACGGCTTGGTTGGGCTTTACTCTGAGCTGCTGACCCTTCGGGAAGTCGTGTTTCTGATGGCAGCGTGGCAGCGCAGTTGAAGCACTGACCATAGCTACCGCGGTCGCGGTGCTCGGACTTCTCTGCTGGAGCAACTGACCATGTGTTCTCTGGTGTGGTGGCCTGAGTGCTTCCATCATGGAATTTCTTTTATTTCTCTCTTATATTATAGTTAGGGTGCTGTATGGATTGTAAAAAAAAAAAAAAATGATGCGTGCAAGTGGGTTACATTAGCCATTAATTTCATTTCAGAATAGCGAAGAGGGCATTTCAAAATCCTTGTTATCACAAGGAAGCTGTCTGGGAGGGCTGGGAACTCCTGATGTAAAGGAAAAGTGGCATCTTCCCAACGTGTCTGGGACTGACTCCAGCAAGGAAGACCCTCCTTTGAAGGGACGCTGGAGAGAGCAGTGCTTAACCCAGCTGGAGGCATGGCCAATGGTGGCCTTGCAGGCGGCCTTACAGGTACTCTTTGTGGAGCAGTGCTCCAAGGCCCCAAAAGGTCACCTGCGGGTTCTGCCCACGAAGCCCCGTGTGCCCACCCTGGTGCTTACCTCCCGGACAGTGCCTCTGGATGGGGCATTTCCGTGACTCGGACAGCACCCGACAGGTTGCTGCCTCCTCCGTCCCGGCCCGGCTGGCCCCTCGGACCCGGGTCTCCACGCCCCAGGCTGAGCCGCAGGTCTTTCCGTTGTGACTGCAGGGGCTCCAGCTGCCCCAGGGACCCGGCTCACACTCCTCTGTGGGGTGGAGGGAGAGACAGACAGATGGACAGGGTCAGCTGGCAGGGAGTATCCTGCAGACCCACGGGTGAAGTCTGAGGGGTTCAGTTCCCTAAAGACACATACCACCTGCAAGGGATTCACGGTCTCCCACAAGGGGCAGAGGGGAGACATTTCACCAACTATTTCTAACCGCCTGGGATGGGAGCGCTAAGAAAGTGGGCACAGGCTGCTACTCTGGGAGGCCAGAAGCCAGAGTGACTGATTGTCTGGCTTTGAGGGGGAAGGCTTCCTGGAGAAGGTGACATTTGAGCTAAAGGGAGAGAGAGGAGTTCATTGGAGGAAACACATTCTAGGCAGGGGTACGAGGCCCTGGAGGCCTAGCCGACCATGTTTGAGAGACATAGAGTGGCTAGAGTAGGGGTCAAGGGAAGGCTCGGGAGGGGAGGGGAAGGGCAGCAGAGGGGGCTGGGAGGTCAGCTGGAGAAGCTCTCCAGGCCAGGACAAGGGGTTTGAACTTTATCACATTGCCCTGATCAACAGTAGAAGGTGGGAGCTATGCAGTGCTGTTATGAGGAAAAATAAGGTCATGGGCATAAAAAAGCTCTTTGTAGGGGCCACTTTAAAAATATATATATATATATATATATATATATTTGATTCTTTTAAGGGTCCTGAGAGGTAGGCAGAGACTAGGCGTAGCTATTAATACCCCTATTTGCAGATTAAGACACTGAGGTCTAGGGAAGGCAAGGGGCTTGTAGAACACAGCAAGTTCAAGATCCAGTGGGACCCAGAGAGAGGTCTCCAGACCTTAGAACAATGGTTCTTTGCTAGATGCATTCATTTGTCAAGTATAAATGGAGCACCTACTACGTGCCAGGCACGGTACTGGGTGCTGAGGCGCAGGGAACAAGACAGACCTCTACCTGTCTCCCGCAGTTCACCACCTAGAGAAGGCAGGCAAGGTGAGCGGGGGACTCAGTGTACACCTAGGGAAGCAGAGGTGGCTTGGGAGCCCAGAGGGGCAAGAGTCCAGCCTGGGGAAGTGGGAAGGCTTCCTGGAGGTGGAGACTCCCAAGCTGAGTCTCAAAGCTGGGCAGGGGTGGGGCGCAGGTAGTCAGGCACAGGGAGGGGCAGGAGGGAGAAATGCCCCAGGTGGAATAACCCCAGCAAAGCCCTGGGGTGACTCTGCCCTTGACACAGGCCTAGAGCCAGGGAAACTGGAGCATTGGCTCAAATGACGGAGGAGCAAAATGGTGGGGGTGGAGTGGCCAGCAGATGGTGATCAGTTCACACAAGGCCTAGGAGGGCTCTATCTGAGGGCAGAAGAGAAACATGGTCAGGTTGCTGTTTTGAAATAATTACTCTGGCTGTGGCGTGGGGCTGGAGGAAGTAAGACTTGAGGCAGAGAGATAGGCAGAGGGTGGGGAGAAGGCAGTGGGTGGGGTGGGGCAGGGAGAAGGCAGTGGTCACGCATGGAGTTGGTTTGCGAGCTCTTAGTCTGCTTTTTTTTCCCCTCCAAAGTTCTTTAGGCCACCAGACACATTATGTACTTATTCTCGTGTGTCTCTTCTGTCTCCCCACTAAAATGTCACATCCGCGAGGGCAGAGACGTCACTGATAAGTCCCCAGCACCTAGGACAGTGCCTGGCAGATAGTAGTGCTCAGTCAATATTTTCTGAGTAAATGATGAACAGGTTGGATGGGATGTAGGGTGAGGGAGAGGGAAGTGTCAATGATAAGGCACAACACCCCATGAGTCATGGAGCTGGTTATTGATAGAAAAAAACCCCGAGAAGAAGCACCAGGCTAGGGGTGGGCGGGTGGGGAGGGTGGGAAGGAGGCGTCCAGAGGGCAGGGCCTACTGCTTGAGGAGGGACGTGGCTGGGACAGTGAGTCAGGAGCCATTAGCTTTTGGACTGAGACTGCAAGCCCAGAGGGCATGTGTGAGCAGAGTAGCCATGGTTTAGGCAAGAATGCTGGGGAATGACCTCATGTCAGGGACCAACCACAGAAGATGAGCTCACAGAGGAGCCTGAAAAGGAACAGTCAGAAAAGAATTACAGTAGTAATAATAATGACAGTTAATTTTTATTGAGTGCTTAGTATGTGACAGTATTAAGTACTTGACATTGTACCAATTAATTAAATTATAACAATCCCCCATGAGGTAAGAGCTATCGTAATTTAATAAGGGGAGAAACTGAGGGACAGAGTGTTTAAGTGACTAGCACAAGGTCACTAGTGGGTAAATTTTAGACCTGGGATTCAAACCCAGGTCTGTCTTAGTCCAAAATCAGTGCTCTTCTTACCCTGCTGCCTCCCTCAATAGTAATAATGATGCCAATGTTAGTATTCGTAATAATGATTATGATGGTTCTAGTGCATTGAAGACTTACTATGTGCAGGTACCTGACACGGTGCTATTGAGCCTCCATCACCACGTGGCATTCTACTATGACTTCTTCTAGGTTTCCTGCTCCAGGAAGGGGCTGGAAGGGGGCAGGACTGGGCAGGGCAAGGAGGCCCCCACTCACCCTGGCACTCCCATGTGCTTTGATGGGCCACAGTGCCCAGCGGGCAGGTGGATAGACACTTTCCCTTATACAGGTAAAACAGCCTCTTGCACCGGATGCAGAAGTCCTGGCTGAAGCAGCTCTCGCATGTGGCCCCACATTCTGTAACAGAGCCAGGTACACCTTGGTGAGGATGGCTGCGAGGGGAGGCGTTGCTCTGAGGCTGCCTGAGGTGGGAGGGCCCTCTGAGTAGCCCCAGGCTCTGCAGCACTGGGATGAGGGCTCAGTACCTCCTTTGAAGCCCAGAGTTGCCCAAAGTCGAACTAGGCTGAGTATGAGAACTCTCTCATTTGAACTGAGACTCAGCGAGGGCAGGTGACATGTCCAAGGTAACATGGCTATTTTAATTTAAAGGTCAGGATTCCCTTTCTCATTTGAGCTGAGGCTCAGACAAGGCAAGTGACTTGCCCAAAGTTACACAGCAAATCTGAGCCTGAAGTGAGGATTCCCTGCTCCATTTCAGCCAAGGCTCAGAGATGGTAATGATTCGTCCCAAGCCACAGAAAACTTTAGTTAGGAGTTAGGACTCCTTTTCCCATTTGAGCTAGACCCAGACAGGGTGAGTGACTTGTCCAAGGTCACACAGCAAACTTCTAGGGTAGAAGTGAAGGTTCCCTGCCCCATTGGTACTGAAAACCAGAGAGGCACTAACTTGCCCAGGGCTGCAGGGTCAGCCTGGAACCAAGCAACTAGAATCTGGGCTCAGACTCACTTCACCTATTGCTGTGTTGGGGTAAGCTGGTGGGATGTGGGCCAGGGGCCCAGTGCTAGCACAGGACAGGGTGGAGCCACGTACTTTTGCACCTGTTGACTTCCTGGCCACGGACGCCGAAGTAGCCAGGGGGGCAGTCGTGCACGCACTTGCCGTACTGGCGGATGCCGTCTCGGCGGATGAACAGGAAGAGCCTCTGCTGGCAGGTGGAGCAGCCGTTCTCCTCAGAGCAGATGACACAGCCTGTGCAGTTTCCCCCTAGGCCCGTGCCCACTGCCAGCCAGACCAGGGGGGAAGGGCAGAGGAAAGGCGGAGAGAGATGGTCAGACTGTATGTGTGTGCAGCTAAGACTGTCTAACTGGGATCTTAACTGGACACATGGCCACCCAGACAAAAGACCACATTTTTCAGCTTCCCTTGCAGCTAGGTATGGTTGTGTGACCAAATTCTGGCCAATGGGATGGGATGAAGCAGTGTGTGCAACTTCTAGAGAGCTGCCTTAAAGGACAGGGGCATGCCCTCTGTCATTTCTTCATCCTGTTGGGTGGAATGTGAACGTGATGGCTGGAGCACAAGCAGCCATCTTGGATCATGAAGTGGAAGCCATGTGCTGAGGATGGTGGAGAAATAAGATAAAAAGCACCTGGGTCCTTGAGAAAGGTAGACTACTGTACCAGCCTGGGGTGCCTGTGTAGACTGTTACATGAGAGACAGAAAAATGTCTTTTTTGTTTAAACCATTTTTATTTGGAATTTTCTGTCACTCACAAATTTCATTTTTACTAAAACTGTGTATTTTTGAGTGTATGAGGGTTCCACATGCATGTAGGGGTGGGGTGAAACCCTCGTGCTTTGGCTTGGTTTCTGAACAATACTCCATTCCTCACCATCCCCATCATCAAATGCTCCCACGCCAGTTGCTGTCGAGTCAACTCTGACTCATGGTGACCCCACGTGTGTCAGAGTAGAACCGTGCTTCATAGGGTTTTCAATATATAATTTTTTGGAAGTAGGTCACCAGGCCTTTCTTCTGAGGTGCCTCAGGGTGGACTCAAACTGCAAATCTTTCGGTCTGTAGCCTAGTGGGTTAACTGCACCACTCAAGGACTCCTGCAGTGTGATGGAATGTTTTATATGGCCTTTCTTGCCATGGTCTTGTAACTTCCACCAAACGAATGGGTGGGACCATGCTAAATAAGGTATATGGAACCCTAAAGAGGGGACTGGTCAGTTCTGCCATCCCTCTGGGCTTGAAATGAGCCATCCCAGAGGTGGGAAAGGAGACGATCCCACCACCACCAAGGAAAAACAGCCAGGAGTGGAACGTTTCCTTTGGACCTGGGATCCCTGCACTGAGAGGCTCCCAGAACCAGCAGACAGAGAGAGAAAGAGAGAGAGCTGAAGATAGTGAGAAGAAGTGGCAGAGAAATTGTGGCAGGAGAGTCTAGCAGGAGACGGTGCATTGGGCTTCCTGGCCCACAGAGCGAGAAAGCTGAGTGCCTTTGGGCAGGAAGCTTGCTGGAAGAGTAGGGTGCCTCCAGGCACTTATTGGCAGAACTGAAAGAGCTTTGTGACACTTGCCTGAGCAAGTTAGCTGCTGAGGGGCCAGGGATAGGTGTGCTTGTGGCACAGCTGGGAAGAGGCTGTCCTGATGGAAGACCTATATCCTGACTGTTCCTGAGCCTGTATTGTAACCTATTACTTCCCTGATAAACCCCATAATCATGAGTATTGTCTGTGAGTTCTGTGTGTCATTGCAATGAATTATCAAACCCGGCACAGAAGTAGAGAGTGCCGTGGGAGGGAAGGTTGGTGTCAGAACTGGTAAAGATGGCGGAGGGAGGAGGTATGTTTGACCTCCGCCTCACAGGAATCAGCCGTGGGCTGTTGATCTTGATTCTCCTTCCCACTTGTGAAGTTAGAGGAGGTCAGATACCGCCCCCCATGCCATTTTTCCCAAGTGCTCCCACCATCATCAAATGCATCAAGTTAAGGGGGAGGGAATTATTTGTTGCCCCAGAATTGGCAACCAGGACCTAAAAACGGGGAGAAAGAGGTGGGATATAACTTAGAATTAGAATCTAAAGAAAACCCCTCCAAGCCTCATAAGGAATCCCTGCTACCCTGACCATCTCCTCAGAACCCCTAATTAAGCTGACCACGTAAAGAGAGGGGCTCATAGGAGTTAGGAGTTGTCAGCCTATGGAGGGGGGATTTCTGTGGCTTTTCCCTCTGTTCTCAACCCCCCAAACCAAATGAGGGGAGATCCAAGAGAACTGTTCACACGAATGGGGATGTCTGTAAGAAGGGGTGACCAGCATCTCATGCCCTGGCTGGACATCAGCTTGTGTGACAATCCTGCAGATCTGGCCCCTTCCCTCGCCTGTTTGAACAGAGAAAGGCGACCAGGAGAGAGCGGGGCAAAGCTGAGAGGGGCGACAGCAGTAGAAGAGGTGGGATATTAACTGGGCACTGTTAAAAAGTAACTATAAGCATCTATCAAGTGCATCGATGCACTTCCTTTGTGGCAAGGATGAGGGAGCTCACAGTGGCAAGGGAACGCCTTAGAAGTAGCCACGCTTAGACGGTATTGCTGCTGCCTTGAAGAGAAGGCTGGTGCTGGCAGAGGTGGCCCAGCAGTAAGAGGCAGCAGGGGAGACCACTGGGGGTGGGAGCTGGGGGTGGTCAGAGGAGGTGGAGATGGGACTAGTGGGGGCGTCTTCATAGTACCTCCCCCAGCACTCACCCCTACTCCCATGAAAGACAAACGTCTGGATGTGGGGGCCACAGTCACCCAACAGAGAACAAAGAACTGTGCCCTTGTCCCTGAATCCCTCCATTCTGTCTCCACCCTGGAGAAGCTAGACCTCCAAGGGAGGGAAGGGGAAGAACAAAAGCTCAGAGCAGGCCTCCTCACTCCAAGTCCTTCAAGCTGGGCTGTGCTCGCAGAGGGAGGGAGGTCAGCATTAAACTGGCTCAGAGACAGAAGCTGTAAACTTGAATTAGAGTGGAGTGGACTTTTTGGTACCTGAAAGTGACCGGGTGTCATTAAGGGATAGGAAAGGACACGGTAGCTTCTTAGAGACAGCATCTAGGAAAACATTAAACTGTTTCATATTTATGCCCCATCACGGTTGACTGTGTAATAAACTGGTTACACACTTTGGCTCACCTCAGCCCTATGACCACCCAGCAGGGACATTCTTGACTCTCTAATCCCCCGTCCCCTGTTCCTATTGGTGCCCATCGTCCCTTTAGAGGAATTCCCTCTGTGTGGGGTCCCAGCGAAGGGCAAATCCTCGTCCTGCCCCCCAAACAGAAATGAAGGAGGCCTGGCCATTCTACAATTTTGCAGTGGGTGGGTCCTGACTGAAGCCTGGCCAATCAAATACTCCTGTGACCCCGAGTCCTGGGTGTGGGACACAAAGAGCAAGGGACGAGTGAGGACAAGGTTCATGGTGGTGGCAGAGCAGGCTCCCCTAGACTAGGCCAGGGCCTTTGGGTTGCCCCTCCCTACCCCCTGCTCTCTGAGGAGTACTGCCATTTTCCAAGCCTGGTCCTCCAGCCTCCCTCCATTCTGTGAGCCCCCAAATCCCACCAATGACTCCCGTTTCTGTTGTTTGCAACCAAGAACCCTGAGTGACCCAGGCAGAGACCTATTGAGAGATACAGTAACGGACACATACTCTGGGATCCTGCCCGAAGGTAGTAAGGAAGGGTAGCAACACCCTCATTGCTCCAGGGAAGAGAAATTGCAACAGGAGAGCAGAGTAAGGGCGTTTTGTGTTTCTAAAGCTGTACACCTGGCAGGAAGGAGTCCTGGTGGCGCAGTGATTAAGCGCTCGGCTACTAACCAAAATGTCGGCAGTTCAAACCCACCAGCTGCTCTGAGGGAGAAAGATGTGGCAGTCTGCTTCCATAAAGATTATAGCCTCAGAAACTGTATGGGGCAGTTCTACTCTGTCCCATGGGGTCTCTATGAGTTGGAATCGACTGGATGGCAATGGGTAGACCTGGCAGGAGCCTGAGGGCAGAGAGAACATGTGATGTCACAAGAGGGATTCCCGGGCCCAAGGAGAGAGAACGTGACAGAGAAATGAACAGGGCCCAAACTTTCCACTCAACTGGCAGAAAATTTAAATTCTGATGATATCTAGGGATGGTAAGGATGAAAGGAAACTTTGACCTCAATAGGATTGGAAAAATCCAGCAATGTCTAGTAAAATTGAGGATATCCTTTTCTAGACATAGTAATTTGGCTTCTAGGTATAAACCCTAGAGCAGTGGTTCTCAGACTACAGCATCCGCATCCCCTGGAGGGCTTGTAAAACACAGATTGCTGGGCTCCACCCTAAAGGTTCCAACTCACTAGGTCTGAGGTGGGGCCTGAGATATGCATTTCTAATAGGTTTGCAGGTAATGCTGATGCTGCTGGTCCAGGGCCTATACTTTGAGAACCCTTGGTCTAGAGAAACTCTTGCATATGTACACAAAGTGACATGTACAGAGATGTGTATTGCAGCATTATTTAATAGCAAACGCTTGCTAAAAGCTAACCAGCTATCAAAAGGATAGATAAATACATTGTGGTCTACAACCCAGCCATGAGAAATGACTGAAGTAGAATTATGGTTATCAAAATAATAATAATAATAATACACCGTGACCAAGTGGGATTCATACCAGGATGCAAGGATGGTTCAACATTAGAAAATCAATCAATGTAATTCACCAGATGAATAAAACAAAGGAAAAGAATCACAAAATCATCTCAATTGATGCAGAAAAGGCATTTGATAAAGTCCAACACCTATTCTAGATAAAAACTCTCAGCAAAATAGGAATAGAAGGCAAATTCCTAAAATAATTAAGGGCATGTATACAAAACCAACAGCCAACATTATTCTCAATGGAGAGAGACTGAAAACATTCCCCCTGAGAATGGGAACTAGACAAGGGTGCCCTTTATCACAACTTTTATTCAATATTGTGCTGAAAGTCCTAGCTAGAGCAATAAAGCAAGATAGGGAACTAAAAGGCATCCAAATTGGCAAGGAAGAAGTAAAACTATCCCTATTAGCAGATGAGATGATCCCATACATAGAAAATCCCAGAGACTGTACAAGAAAGCTACTGGAACTAAGAGAAGGATTTAGCAAAGTGGCAGGATACAAGATTAACATACGAAAATCAGTTGAATTCCTCTACACTAACCAAGAGAACTCTAAAAAGGACATCAGGAAAACAATACCACTTAAAACTGCCCACCAAAAG